AGGACCCAGCAGGCCCAAGAGAAAGAGGCGGGCCCTGCCCCAGCTGGAGCTGCCGGGGGGGGGGCACCCCAGAGAGCCAGCACCAAGACCTGGCCAGGGACTAGGCTGGAGCCAGGCCCACAGAGGAGGCGGGGATGGGCTACGTGGCTGCTCCACCCAGGGTTGAGAGAAGGGAGCAGAGGGTGGTCCAGTGGGAGCCACGCTCAAGGGGCACGGCTGTCAACCCTCTCACCTGCTCCTCTGAAGGAAGAGGGGGATTGGTGGGAGAGGGGAAGGGGGCAGATTGGGAGGCTGATTTAAGCCAGGCGACTTGGGCAGGTGAGGGGGGGGGAGAGCACGTGTCAGTTTGGTGTAGTGGTTGAGTGTGCGGGCTCTAGCCTGGGAGGACCGGGTTTGATTCCCCACTCCTCCACTTGCACCTGCTGGATGACCTTGGGCAAGCTGTCCTTGAAAAAGAGCAGTTTCGGTCAAGAGCTCTCTCAGCCCCACCTACCTCACGGGGTGTCTGTTGTGGGGAGGGGAAGGGAAGGGAAGGGAGTTTGTAAGCCGCTCTGAGACTCCGTTGGGTAGTTTGTATGTTTGGCTTAAGACCTCGAGTCAATGAAGCTAATAAAAGAAATGGAAATTGGCTCCCTTGGGTAGTGAAGGGTGGGGTATAAATCCAATCTCTTCTTTTCTCAAAGGGGAAGCAGGATGCCTGGAGAGAATCCCTAGAGCGTGTGAGCTGGGGAGGGGGACAAGGGTGAGACCAGCCCCCCCCCTCCAGCTATATCTGAGGCCTGCCATTCTGGCTACAAAATCACTTCCTGGAGACCCCAATTCCTCAAGCTATTTATTTATTTATGTATCTATCAAATGTATACCCTGCCCTCCCCGCCGGAGGAGGCTCAGGGCGACTTACAAGGATTAAAACACACAAATAACCATTAAAACAATCCTAAAACCTTCTAAAACAATCCAGATGATGTACAGTGCTTGTCCAATTGGTCTGGCAAAGTAATGCTAATGATATTTGGCGACGATGGCAGCAGCTAATGTCCTGTCCTGTCGATCCGCTCCTTGTTCTATTTCTTCTTTTGTGGTCGGCTCAGGCTGTTAATGATGACGACTCCCAAGGGCAGGGCTCACAATTAAGGATTGGGGGGGGGGGGGCTCCTAGTTGAAGGCTTTGTGGAAGAACTCCATCTTGCAGGCCCTGCGGAACTGCATAAGGTTCTCTCTACGCAGTCTTTCATTTAACGAGAGTTTATTGAAGAGATTTAAGATGCTGCAAGGTTGAACTCTTTGTCGGGGCAGGGGAGCAAAAGCAGGTGCCCAGCATATAACCAAAACTCACACTCCAGACATACGTCACCCAGTCATAATTATAAGCAATCCTAAGAACCCAGACAGTTGTGGGTATCCTGAGTCCTCCCCTGTTCAGGCGATGAGCTGATTCATGCTCACCCACAGAGACTTATGGACCCAATAGGGTTCCAGAATGCTCTGCAGGATCCAATTCCCTCTGGCAGTTCCTTAGATGAGCTGGTAGAAGACTGGCAGAGCTGGCTTTCTGAAGCGATCAATGAAATCTCCGCCTGACACCCTCTTTGCACCCATGCCAAAATAGCCCCTTGGTACATCGAGGAGCTAAGGAGGATGAGACGGGAGCTTAGGTGGCTAAAGCAAGCTTGGCGGCGGAGTCATGACGAAGCTGCAAGAACACCTTATAGGACATTTATGGAAGCCTATGAGATGGCAGTGAAACAACTCTGGTTGCCTTGATGATGGATGACTTGTGTCAGTGTACCCATGGAGGGAATGTACGTCCCTGCTGGTTGTCCTGGACCTCTCAGCACTTTTCAGCACCCTCAGCCATGCTATTCTTCCGAACCACCCGGCAGAGAGGCCCCCGACTGGTGCGGTATTAGGTGGGTTTTGACCCTTTCTCAAGGGTAGATTTCAGTTGGGTTGGAAGACCTGCCTGGCCTGGTGGTCCTGCAAGAATCCACCTCGTCTCCCATCCCATTTAATGTCTACTACATGACAGTGCTAGGAAAGATCATCCATAGCTTTGGATTGAGTTTACACCCGTATGTGGATGACACGCCCTCCTTCCCATCAGGACCCAGTGTGGGGCAGCTATGAGGAAGGGGAGGAGGGTAAACTAAAATTAAACCCAGACAGAGCAGAGGGGCTGTGGATTGGGGATACGGCTTTTCTAGGAATAGGTATCCAGCCTACAATGAAAGGGTTTGTACTCCCGCCCCCCCCCCCGAAGCTCACAGTCTCTGGGTGTGTCTGCAGGTGCCTCACTGGCCCTCAATGTGGTGACAGAGGTTGCCAGCTGTGGCCACTCCTGGACAAAGTCCCACTTGCCTTGGGGGAACATCCAGGTGAGACTCCTGGCACAGACTCTGACGTGGGGCTGCCTCTGGAGATGGTCAGGAAGTATCGGCCAGTTGAGAGGTACGGAGAGCCTGGCCCAAGGGAGCACCCCACCCCCATAACCCTTTCAGCCCTGCATGGCATCGTGGGCCCAGGACAGACTGTGCCTGCGTGTCCTTGGCACCTGCTCTCAGCTGGTTTACCCTCACCCTAGAGGACAACAGGCAGGTACGTGAAAGTTTCCCCCAGTGGGAATAAAACCAGCCCAGGGATGGCACTTTCCAGCTGGGAAAACAAGAGGGCTGGAAAAGGTTAGGATTCCTCTCTCTCCTTCCACTGTCTTCTCCTTGCTAAGCAATTCTGGCAGCTGAATTTTTAAAGTGACAACAAAATTGTTTCAAATAAACAGACAAAACTGTTATGTGCCGTTGACACTTAGAAGAGCAATTCCTCCTGGGAACGATTTCCCCTTAATTAACAGGGTAGGAGCAGTATGTGGAGAAAGGCCTTGCCAACTTGGAACATTCTAACTAGGAAGATAAACCACCACAATGAAGACGTTCTTGCGAGGGCAAACAGCGGCACCCAGAGCTGAAGCCATGACATAGCAGGCCTGCAAGAAGTAGGCAACAGTGAAGTATTTTCCTGTCCTGTGGGACTAGTGAGTGTGAAACTGACAAGGTGCTATTTGAACGTTTGAACACAGTGTAAACCTGCACTTTGATGTGTTGTTTTGGTGAAACCTATGTTTGATCATACTTGACACCAATATTTATATAGTAGTACTGGGGGAAAAAATAAATAAAAAGCACAAAATAGATCTACCTTAAGCATACATCTGTTGTACACAGTGTCATGTATCTTCCTGACAGGGTGACCCTCATTTTTGGTATTACCCACCTGGAGGTTGGCAACCCTCAGTCCTCTCCCTGTACTCTGCCTTCAGTATTTGTGTTTTGAATAATGTCACACACCAACTAGGAACCTGCAGACATTAGCCTTCAAGGCACAAACAGATACAAATTATGAGTTTTCATCCATCAGAAATATCTTATTTGAAAGTCTTTGTCAATATAAATTGCATTTGCTACTTAATGTACAGCATGCCTTAGGCACAATTCAGTAGCATCCTGTACCTTAGTGCACTCAATTCCTCACCAAATCACTTTAATTTTATTTAAATCTATAAAGAGAGCCAGTTTGGTGTCGTGGTTAAGTGTGCGGACTCTAATCTGGGAGAACCGGGTTTGATTCCCCACTCCTCCACTTGCACCTGCTGATGTGACCTTGGGTCAGTCACAAGCTCTGGCACAGCTTTTCCTGAAAGAGCAGTTTGTGTCAGAGTTCTCTCAGCCACTGTCCAGCAGCATTTTAAAGACTAACAAAATCCATTCCAGTTTAAGATATTTGTCAGAACTCATTTCTTCATGTGTGTGAAGTGCATATCCATTAGACAGATGCATTTTATTTATTTATTTATTTATTTATTTATTTATTTATTCCTATTTATAGCCAGCCCCTCCCGCAAGCGGGCTCAGGGCGGGTAACAACATTTGTACTAAACAGAAGGGGGTGATGCTACAGAGAGTAAAGTTAAACTTCCTCCTGCAACCTTTCTGTTTCTTGCAACATTTAGTATAAATGTATGTGCCTAAAGACATGTACACCACGTATCTGAGGGAGCAACTACCAGCTCATGAAAGTTTTGCTGGAATAAATTTTATTAAGTCTTCAAGGGGCCACTGGCACTTGCTTCATTTGCTGCTACGGACAAATACAGCTCCCCATCTGGAAATAAACAGTTCCTATTAACGGCACACAGGTCCTGTTGTGCCTCCTTTCTCAGTGCTCTGTTTCTTAGTGTTAGCAACATATATCCTGTGAGAGTTCTGCCTTCCTACAAAACCACCCATTCATCTCTTTGGATCACAGTCCCCTCTTCACTGTCTTCCACAGCCTTCCCAAAGTCAGGAGCTCCATTAATTGCCAAGCCAGCTTTGCAGAATGAAGGACATAATGTTGTTTGCCTCTTCCCTTCACGCTCTGCAGGGAGGCGTCACTGGAGAGGGAGGTGCCCCGGGTGCATTTCCTTCAGTCATCTAGGCTCCAGCCTTCAGAACAAGAGGGCATCTTGGCACCAGGGCTACCTCTTCACGGGAGAAGGTTCTGGTGCCCTTACCCAGCATCCCGATGCTGAAAACAGAAAAGGCCATCAGTGTCACTATTTAATTTTTTACATGAGCCATTGAATGCCAGGGCAATTTAAAACTAATCTCTGTTTGGCTCATAATGAGGCCAGTAACAAATAAATCTAATCACACAACAAGTTGTCTTCCCCTAGTTTTCTGTAGCTCTTCAGACTCCCTAAGTGGGGACACCAGAGAGGCATCCGTACCTGCAAATTTGACGATGAGCTAGGAGAAGAAGGAATCCCTTTTCTCCTGCAGTCCTGCAGTCCTCCCTCTCCCCTAACCTGTCGTATGGAACACCTGAGTTCCTGCTCACTACAACAGGTAGTGGAAGGGGATGGATAACAAGGCTGGAGATGGGAACAGGGGGGGAGATGCCAAGTCTTGTCTCCTGATTCAGTGCAAATGTAAGGGGGGTTCATGCAGTAGCTCCAGTTGCAAGTGAACCAATAAAATACAGCACAATGTGATATCTCCCTTAAAGACTGAAACATTGGAATAAAAGTTGGTTTGCAGGTTCAGGAAAACATATTGTATTTCAAGAACGAATCTGTCGCTTGACCCTCCACACCTGTTCTCACCCCCCCAAAACCCAACCCCCCCCCCCCAAAGAAATATGTGACACATAACATTATGTATAGAAGACTATGATATCAGAGTAAGTTGGAGAGGTTGAGAACACCCCCCCCCTTTCAAGAAGAACTCTTTTGATAAGGCTGAGAACGAGGAAGGCCTCTCTGTGAACCACATTAGTACTAAGTAAGCATCCCCTACTTACACTGAGGTTTTCCAGGGCTGGTGTTACTAACACTGCTTTCAAAGGAAGAGTGGAAATTGTGTATAGTCTCCTGTAAAATTTTCCGTTCTCGTCCCTAATGAAGAAACATAATTAGACCAAAACCAAATAGGCACTTAAATCTAAGTATGACACTGTGACTAAGGAATACGTTTAAGTCTGCATCTTTGGGAATGGGCCTTGCTGACAGTATCCCAATCCTTGTCTACTCTGAGGGGCAGCCGCTCCCCAGGGTCTCAGGAGGGGGTCTCTCACGTCACCTGCTGCCTGACTTGCTCAGCTGGGGATGGAACCTAAGACCTTCTCTGTGCCAAGCTCTTGGTTTTTGGGAGGTCAGGCCAGTGCCCCAAAACAGCTGGCTTGAGCACTGGAATTTGGAACTGACCCATTATCCCTTCAGGACAAGAGACCGCAGTGATCCCTGAGCCAGTCCCAGAAGGCAAAACTCTTCAGCCTCGTAACAGACAGCAGTCCCTGAGCCAACCTGATACGATCAAGTGTCCCCCATCAGATATCAGAAAAGTTAAAACACTGTGCATAGCAGCATTCCGTATATAGGATATTCTGACGTACCTTTCCTGCATTCAGCTCAGAAATAGCTGCCAGAATCTGTTGTCTAGAACCATCTGTTTTAATTCCCAGTTCCTTCAAATCACCATCTGTAAGGGTGAGAAAAGCTTCCATATCCACCTGTGAAACAGAAATCCATAATATATTGTTTCTCTCCTATATTACAAAAGATCCAGCGGAATAAGAGGAAAGGTGTAGACGTACCCTACCCTCCAATTCATTCTCAATGAGTCTCCAATGCCCCCACAATCCTGTAACTGCTGCTGCTCCCAATTGCTCCACTGGCTGAAGCAACAGAGATCCAGGCTTCATCCAGACAACACAGCAAACTCCAATTATTCTGAGACTCTACAAAAGCACAGATTGCTGCAAGCCCCTGACCTGGACAGCCCAGGAGTCAGGCCTCATCTCCTCAGATCCTGGAGGCTCAGCAGGGCCGACCTGGGCGAGGAACTGGATGGGGGGGGGCTCCGAGGGAGGCCAGGGCTCAGGAGGCAGAGGCCGGCTATCAAGCCACCTCTCTAGAAAACTTCCAAGCCCCCAGTAGGGGGTCACCAGAAGTTGCCATGACTCCCAGGCATGCCATCACATAAACACACACACAGAGGCACACACACACACACAAAAAATACTCCCCCCCCAAAAAAAAAAAGAAGAAAAAGAAAACCACAGTTTGCTGCCCATGATTGTGCCTTCCTTCTTGCATGGAGCATGATTTACAAGTTTCCTGATTTGAAACACACTCCACTAGCCCTTGATGTGTGAATGCAGACACCCAGGTGAACCAATATTTGTTTATTCCTTCCAAAACTGGGATTGTAACTCATGGTTTAATCCGGATTTAGAATCCTGGGTCATTTGGACTGTGTTAATTATGATCCACCCAAGCACCTGCACTTGCTCCTTACAGGAAACCCAGAGCCTGCTTCAGACCAAGAATACCTAATTGCACGACATGGAGAAGAAGGGGAAGAGGGTGTGCAAACCCAGCTACAAACCATGCCTCTAGACGGATCTGGGCGTATCTGGAGCCTCCTGTGACGCCTGAATGCAGTCCTAACGTCGTGGCTTACCATGCCATCTGAAGCAAACTTACACTCTTCCAAGTCCATGGGTTTAGATGGGTGTAATTCTGTTTAGGATGGCACTGCATGACTGCAATCCAAAGCACACACTAGGGAGTATGGCTCATTGCGCTCAGAAGACTTACTTAACTGTAAACAATCCTGCTATGAAATCACAAAGTGACCTTTTCACAGTTTACAAAAAATAAAGGCGGGGGGGGGGGCAAGAGAGAGGTTTATGAAATTATGCATGGAGCAGAGAGAACTTCCCTATTATGTTAGAGCTCAGAGGCATCCAGTGAAGTTGATGGCCTGTAGATTCAGGATGGAAAAAGGAAGTACTTCTTGACTAAACAAGCCATTAAAATGTGGACTTCACGGCCAGAGGATGCAGCGGCGGCTACAAGCACAGATGGCTTCAAAGGGGGACTGGACACATCCATTGGTGGCGACTAAAGGGAACCTCCACATTCAGAAAGAGAAACCATCTGAATACCAGTGCCAGGAGGCACCAGCAAAGGAAGGAAGAAAGGCCTTAACCCCTCTGCCCTGTTGTTTGTCCTCCATCATACCTGGCTGGCCACTGTTGGACTAGATGGTCTGATCCAGTCGGACTCTTGTCTTCTTATAACCTCAGGAAAGCCACTTTCGCTCTCCCTCAATGCCCCTGCCGTCCTCCTCCCAGCAATGAAAATACCAAATTTCTTGTTTCTACACTGGTTGCTTCTGCTCACTTGGTCATTGCCAGAAACTGGGAATCCCTCACGGGATCCTTGCTTAAAAAATGGTACCAGAACACATGGGAAAAATTCCTAATGGGCAGGGTTATGCATAATCCGTTTTTTTTTGGGGGGGGGGGGGAATTTTGCACGAAAGTCCCTTTATTTGAATGTGACAAAATATGGAAACCAGTCTTAGAATTTCCATGTGTTAAGGATGTGATTCCCACGATGCAACACGATTTAGATGGCTGGTCATTGTGATTTTTTGTTCTGTAACAGATTGCTAATTGTGCCTTTAGTACTGTAATTTTAATTTAAACTTAAATAAAAGGATTTTTTTTTAAATGTAACTCTAGTCAGTTATCATGAACAAACTGGTGTTTACCAAGAGCACCTACTTCTCCCTCTTCCCTCGTGTGGCATGCTGAGAATACTCCGTTGATATTCTAAAACAGTGTTTCTGAAATACAGCTGTCAGGGTGTGGGGTCTCTGGGGGCCCGCCCGGGGTTCCCCTTTTTCCTTATGGCAGGCCTCGGGTGGAACGAGGGGAAGACAACCCCCCCCCCTCTGTGAGCTTCAAGACGCCTCCGGTCACCCTTGCTCCTTGTTCGCGCTCTTCCTCCTTGGCCTGCCTCGGCATCCCTATGTAAAGTTTCTCTTGGGGAGGCCCCCCAGGACTCACTCGCCCTCCCTTCCTGGGGGCTGGGTTCTGCCTTACTAACACATTCTCCCTCCCGCAGGGAGCCAGCCCCACTATTCCGCCTCTTCCTTCCAGCCTCCATCTCATGCTACATGCTAACGACAGCCTCCTTCCTGGGCCTCCTCCCTCCTCCCAATAAGCCACTGGACACTGTTCCCCCCCCCTTCCCTGTTTTCCCCACATGCCAGCAGGCCACGCGAGGCTGCTTGCTGCTGCTAGCAACTCTCTGTTGTCCCGTGGCGGGGCTGGTCTCGGCCGTCCCTCTCACGCTGCCCTTCCCGGGGAAGCTCTGTTGTTGACTCCACCAGTGGTAAGGATGGTAAGGATGAGCCACCCTCAGACAATGGCAAAATGCAGGTTCGACATTCTGTGCAAAGCAATTTCAGCCAAACTCACAGAGCAAAGGGACACAAAAGGGGAAAGTCTTACCTCCTGCTCTTCAAAAATAGGCTGATACTTCTCAAGTGAGAGCTTTTTCAGGATGCCTGTGAGTTCATCTTTAAGTTTAAAAAAAACAAAAGAATTTAATTTTTTTTTTGTTTCTATGAATATGACTCTTTATCAACATTAAGTGTCGAACTACTTCTGCAAAGGGCACGGGCCGTAATGAACAGCCTGATGGATGATCTATCCCTAAAACTGCTTCCAGATGGGTATTTCCCCCCTTTGTGGAAAGCAGGAAGCCCCCTCGTGAAAGGGGAATGTCCACAGGATACTGTACTTACTCTAAGCGTTCCCTTTAAACTGAATTAAAAAAACGCTGTTTTAATCCAATTAAAAGCAGAATCTGCAGATTGGCTTTAGGGGAGCATCCATGTAGTCGTGTACCATTTACTTGTTTGGTTGGTTATTTTGTTAGGTCTTTATCCCGCCCTCCCTGGCACGCAGGGCTCAGGGTGGCTCACAACAAATAATAAAACAAATTAAAAGCAGTTAAAAACCCTCAGTCGGTTAAATTATACAAATAACAACAAACAAGTCAGCATACAAGGTGGCAAGTAGGCATCCGTGCATATAGTGCTCCAATAAAATGTATACAACGGTGTGCACACAATCAACCAGCTGGACAGTGGCCAACCACCACCCGTGGTCTCTGATCAGATACCATGCCAGACCAGAGCAGGGCGAAGGAGGGGAGGCCAATATAACGGGACACCCGTCGCCTCAGTTAAAGGCTTGGTGGAGCATCTCCATTTTACAGGCCCTGCAGAACTGAAGACAATCCCACAGGGCCCTGAACTCACTTAGGACAGTGTCCCACCAGGCCGGAGCCAGACCCAAGAAAGCCCTGGCGCTGGTCAAGGCTCAGAGGATGTCCTTTGGAAAGGGGACCACCAGTAGATGTCAATCTGATGAGTCAAGGGACCTATTGGGAGAGGCGGTCCTGCAGATATGTTGGTCCCAGAACACACCGGGCTTTAAAGGTTAACACCGCAACCTTGAACTTGACTCGCTACTCCACTGGAAGTAGCTGGCGGAGCACTGGTCGCTTATGTGTTCTGAGAGGTGTCCTGGTAAGGACCCGCCCCGCTGCATTTGGAGCCAGCTGGAGTTTCCGAGCCAACCTCAAGGGCACTCTGTGTAGAGCGAGTTACAGTAACCCAGTCAGGAGGTGACTATTGCACAGATTGCTGTGGCTAAGTCACGAGGAGAGAGACAAGGAAGCAGCTGCCTGACTGGCTGAAGAGGGTGAAAGGCTGTTCTGACAACGGCCATGACGTGGGCCTCCACGGAAAATGAAGCATCCAAGCCCCCCACTGTTGGCGATGGTGTCAACAGCAACACACCAAGGGCTGGGGGCTGGATCCCTGGCTCCACCCGTCCGTGACTCAAACACAGGACATCCGTCTTTGATGGATTTAATATCAGATGGCTCCGCTGCAACTAACCAGCCGTGGCCTCTCATGCCCCAGCCAGTGTCCGGTTGGCTGTTCATCAGCAGATACAGCCGGGTGTCATCAGCACCCAGCCCAAACCTCCAGAACAACTGACCGAGGGGACAACACGCACATAGATGCTAAATAACCTAGGGGAGAGGATCGCCCTCTGTGGGATGAGACCCTCTCCCCAATTGCCACCCTCTGCCCCGACTGTGGAGAAACAAAATGAGCCACCACAAAGTAAGACCCTCATATCCCCACCTCGTCATCGTTGACTGTGTCAAACGCCATTGTTAGGTCGAGTAACATCAACAGTGCTGACCCACCTTGGCCCAGATGCCTCCAGAGGTCATCTGTGAGGGGGACCAGAGCTGTGTCTCCATCCCATACCCAGGGCGGACTGGAATAGGTCCAAGACAGAGGAGTCACCCAGGAAGACCTGGAGCTGTTCCGCTACCACTCTCTCAACCACATTACCCAGAAATGGGTGGTAGCTGGCCAGATCCAAAGGATCTAAGGATGGCTTTCTCAAGAGTGGTCTCACCACTGCCTCTTTAAAGCCCCTAGGAAAGTCCCTGAACGCAGAGACAAGTTGATTATATCCCCCAGGGGGACCCGTATGCCATCACCGCTGGTCTCCACCAGCCATGACGGACGTAGGTCAAGAGGGCAAGGGGTGGGCTTCACGGCACCCAGGATCCTGTCAGCCTCATCCCGGTGGAGCTGACTGAAGTGGTCCAAAATAGGACCCGAAGATAGCCAAGGGGCCTCCAGTTCACATACTGTATCAACTGTGGCCGGCCAGACCTGGCGGAGCAACAAGATTATCCACAAAATAGCTTGCAAAGGCCTCACAGCTAACAGCCAATTTACTATCTTTTTGGTTTCCCTGTGAGAGGAAGGTTAGAGATCTAATTATTCTAAACAAGTGAGCTTGCAGACGCAAGGGAAGATGCAGAGAATTCATTCTTAGTGGCTTTCACTGCCACCTCATAGGCTCTCCTAAATGCCCTATAAGGTGCTCTTGCAGCTCCATCGCTGCACTCTCGCTCTGGCCATCTTAGCTCCCGCTTCATCCTCCTTAGCTCTGTGGTGTACCAAGGGAGTGGGGGTGAGGAGGGCACTGGGGAACGATTTCATGGATGGCTTCAGAGAGTCAGCACTGCCAATCCTCTACCAGCTCATCCAGTGAATCACCGGGGGTATCGGATCCTGCAGAGCCTTCTGGAAGCCAGCTGGATGCATCAGTTTCCACGGGTGAGCATACGTCCACTCACCACCCAAGCAAGGGGGAGCTGGGATACCTGGCCGAGCCTTCAAGGCAAAGTGGACTGACCAGGGCACTGTCTCAGTGGCATCCATAGCCACGTTTATCCCCATCCCCAACATCAGGTCCAGCATGTGACCTGCTTGACGCTTGGGAGCCGATACAAATGGAGAGAGTCCCAGTGCTGCCATGGAAGACACCAGGTCCGTGGCCTGTGAGGAGGAGGAGGCGCCATCTGCACAGACACTAAAGCCCCCCGGAACCGAAAGCCTGGGAAACTCTAAGGACCAGCTCAACACCGCCTCCAGAAGGCCCCGGAGGGTAGCACAGCCATTACAGCGCCATTTCTGAGAGGCAAGGATGGGATGGGTCAATCAGACCGCAGTCGGTGCATGATGGTCTTCCCTCCGCTAGGTGGGAAAGGCCTACCTGGCTGGTTCAGGATCGCCTGTCATTTGCCCTTCCGAATACAGAGACTGACCTCTAATTATGCCTTTGGCTGACAATAAAATAAAAACAGAAACCTTGTGGCTCCTTAAAGGCTACCACATTTATATTACAACTTAAGCTTCTGTGGGCGGGAGCACAATTCTTGGATCCGATGAGCTCTTATCCATAAAGACAGAGGCACTTGCTTATTTTGGGGGGGAAGCCATCTTATCATGAACTGCGTTCCTTGAAGATTTCCAGTGTGTGTTAAAGTAACCAAGAGGTAAGAGATATCTTCAGCAAAAGCATCTATCAAGTGACCAGGGCACAACTGACCAGAACAGACCCTTGAACGTGCCCCAATGCAATAATGTCCCGGTCTATAAACAAACAGCATGTCTGGGAGGAGGGTTCTGGCCTCGTTTTCTCTCTGTCACCCAGCTCTGTGATGAGTTTCCAGAACAAGGGAGCATTCAAGCACTTAGTGCTGGTCAAGAGACGAGTCACCAAACCGTGGCCATGTGGCGCACAGCACTGACCTTCATCCGTCAGAGTCCCGCTGCTGGAGCCGCCGCTGCTCTTCCCTGGCCTGTGAGAGGAGGACAGGGAGGAATCAGCCCGGTGAGCCTTGGGGGGTGGCGACGGGGACTGCGAGGGCGTGAGAGTCGGAGAGGTGCTTTTGGAGGTAGAGGAACTCTCCGGTGGAGGACTCTTGTTCACGTCTAATTTCTGTTTTGTTAATCACAGAGAGAAATACGCTCGTTATTCAAGCTTACCACAGGATTGTTAATTACTTTTAAGAAAACAAAGGCCTGCATGAAACAGAGAACATGAGCACGTTATGTTCTTGGATATTTTGATCTCCTAACTAGGCTCTACGGTAATTAATTTTCACGCTGATGAATATGAAGACTTACCACAGTTAAAAAGAGAAGTTGTGTGGGCTACAGAGCAGCACTGCTGTTGCTTGCAGGTGGAAGGGGATCAGACCCCTTTTCCCAACTAGAACCTACACCCTCTTTGTGGACCAATACCAGAATTTCACATACCAAATTATTTTTAAGAGCACAAAGAGGCTGCCAAATTAAGATCAATGAATAGATATAAATATACACAAGAAGGGGGACCCGCAATACTCGTGGGGGGGGAGCTGCTCTACGGGAGAAGCAGCCGCAGGTGAGCCTTCTCCCCTGTCCCCCCGATCCCCGGTACCCACGGCGAGGCCTGACCTCAGCCCACCAAGCTTCTCCCTCCCCTAGCAGCAGCGGCGCCTCGCTGGCCCGCCAAACTTCCCTCCCCCAGCAGCAGCGCTTCCCCCTTCCCCCCCTTGGCGGTGGCAGCAAGGCCTTGCCGGCCTGCCGAAATTTCTCCTTCTCTCCCTCCCTCCCTCCCCCCCCCCGGCGGCGAGGCCTCGCCAGCCAGGTAAACTTTCTCTTACCCCCAGCGATGTCAGTGAGGTTTTGCTGGCTCACCAAGCTTTCCCCCCTCCCGGCCCGCCGAAATTTCTCCTTCCCTCCCTCCATTCCCCCAGTGGTGAGGCCTTGTCGGCCCGCCAAACTTTCTCCTTTCTCCCCCGCCGGTGGCAGCAGCGACAGCAAT